ACTGCTTCACAACAAGGTTAAAACATAAGATATAAGATAAAAGGCTATAACAGAGTACAAGCCCCCCCCCCAAAAAAAAGTACCGGCAAAATAAGAAATAAGTTTTTTTCTTTTTTTCTTCATTTTTTAGTTGTGATTTCTGGGTAAAAACACGGCAGCTGGAATTTCCAAATCTACTTCTGGCACCCGGTCACCACTGGGCGAGAGCCATTTAGAGCTATTACATTCAATAGAAGGCAGACATGTCTATACCCGATATCTCCAAAACTGGGCAACTCACACTAAAACGACCAAGGTGAATAAAGAAACTCCAGGGGAAATATATGTAAATCTGACTTTTTGGGCTGAACTGGCCCTTTAACCTTTAGATGATTAAAAAAAAAAAGACATGATGGGTTATTAAAATAAAGCATTAAACCAACAATTTTCTGGTTGGGCTCCCCAGAGTTTATACCAGTTCCACTAAACATTCCTGTCTCCTCTAAACGTCTTAGATGATTTCATTTCATGAAATCCAAAGCAGTAAAATATATTAATTAATTACTTCAGACTCAAACATCAAACACCTGAGTCGCTTAATGAATTAAAACTGTCAGACACGTGTCGAGTGATTTAAAATACTACAAAGTTAATGTGCTATATTTACAAAATTATACATCAAACCAAATGTGAAAGTCTCCTTGAAGAAATCTTTGTTAATATATTGTACGCGCTATATTTATTAGGGATTGAACCATCAGTGTGTCCATTCACGTTAAAACATTATGAATCATGCTTTCTTTGTCTCCCTCCCACCAGCCGTCGCTGCCTACCAAAGACGGTAGAACATGTCACGAGCGCAGGCTGAGAATGGCATTAAAACCTGTCTGTAGTGCAGCGCTGACTCATTCATTTGATCTGTGTGGTGAGAAAAAAGAAGCTGCGGTGAATCCCAGCTGAAAAGGAAACGCGCAGTGAAATAGAGAGATGACAGACTGGGCTGTTCGGCTGTGGGCAACAACAAAACTGCAGCAGTTTGTACCAATAATGCAGATTTCATTATACTCAACGTGTGTTGGTTTAAACGGTTTGGTTTCAGGTAACAGTTTAAAAAACAGAAGTATTTTTAAACTTTGTGAAAATCTGCACAATTCAAAAGTCTGGAATCATTTGGTGAATGAAGTCTGTCATCCTTTCTTTTTCTATAGCCAGTCTCAGCAGAGAGTCTGACGTCTGCTGCTTTTCTCCTACATTAAAGAAACCTTTCAATTGATTAAATAATTGTAAAGCTTTTAGTTCCAAGGCAGCACTTTTCTTTATGTGCTTAATATGTACTTAAAGGATGTCAGCAGTGGTGGTTGGCTGACCTTTCACCAGAAAATATTTTGATTTAAGATTACTAAATGCCTCTGAGGTTAAGGTCAGACGACTTATTTATGGAAACTCCAGAAAACCTGAATCTCCCCTCCAAGTTCTTTCTTCAGAAGTCAAACAAACAGTAGTCGATTTGAAACTACACATCTGGATCTCAGCTTTCCTTTCACTGCCGTTAATCAAATCTTTTCTTCTGGACTTTAACGTCACCTCATCCCTCCATCTCCTGTTTTTCCTCTGCTGTTATTGGATCTGCAGCACTGCGCTGTGATGCAGGCAGAGCGTCATGTCTTCCTACGTGGAAATGTCATCTTAATCAGATGTTCCCACTCAGAGAAAGAGCGTCATCAAATGCTGGGGATTGGAGGATTTTTGTAAATGAATATGAGCTTTCGTGTCCACCTGCCGATTCACCTGCTGAATACTTCAAACTTACATTGGTTTCATATAAATCATGCATGTAAGACACTTATGTGATGCATGAGGAAGAATTCTCTTTTTTTTTCTTTGTTTTTCACTTCTTGTAACAGTAATGTCACTTCTTCCCCTCCACTCACCCTGTCACTAATGAATCCAGTCATTATTTTACTTCAACCCCCCTCCACCGTGTGACACAAAGACTTGCAATCATGTGCTTTAGTTTTTTAGCAGAGGGGAAGTACTCCTTCTAACTCATAAAAACAAGCAGATTTACTTAAAGTTTGCATCTATTAAGACTGAACAAGCAGCTCATTACAGGTGGAGAAGAGTGAAGGGTTGGGCAGGAGTGGGTTTAAACGTTCTCCTTTCAAAACTAAACTTCAAAATGAGCTAATTTCTCTGTAATTTCCTGTGGATTTCTCCTGTTAGTGCGCTCCCTTCATCCTGTCCTCTCACAAGCACTGATTTCATAGATCTGACTGGCACATGCACGTCGGGCTTTTCCATCTAAAGGACTTTCCTGTCCACACACATACGAAGGAAGACAGAAACGTTTTTCTTTCTTTTTTTTTTTTGTTAATGGGAATGTGGCAGAAACTTCCAACATATCCCTGCAGCATCCTGATGCATTTATTAGATTTTTTTTAAACAGAAAGTTGGCATGAGGATGAATTTAGAAGGAGATCGAGACAAAAGCGAATCCAATCACGCGAGACCAGTTTGTTCTCTCTCTGCGTCACTTTTTTTTTCTCAGGTGGTTTTAAAATAAAACGGAGCCCGGGCTGTGGGAGGAATTAACGCCGAAATATTAAATAAACTGCGCTCGTGCAGCTGGAGAGAAACGGGCTTATTTGCGCTAAACTGCCGACGACTGCGCTGGTTTTCGTTCCTGCCGTTGGCGAATTTTAAAAGCGCAAATGCAGCCGCGCGGTGCTGCTCAGGTAAAGTTTCCGAGATACCGTTAATAACCAACACGCACGTGCGCCATCACATTACACCCACCCCTGGAGCACGTGCCCATGTTCCCAAAACACGAGACAAAAAAAAAAAAAACGAAAAGAAAAAAATATGTAGTATATCAACACTTGGCGCCAGCAGCCTTTTTTGCTCGAAGACAAATATGATACCTAGATACGATATTTGATCTTCAGCAGGTTTTGACGTCATCAGGTTTGAAGTGCAGACAGGTGACACGTGCACGGCCGCGCGGACGCTTGGTAGAAGCTCTCTGGCGAGCACGTTATGGCACTGGCACCTTCACCTTCACCCCCAGATTCTAATTTGCGACCTCGGCTCTTCTGCTCATCCTTAATTCAGGAGTGACGCAGATGAATTAGCCGACCGCACGAGCGGCGCTGTACGTGTGCGCGCGCCGAGGCTGCTATGCAGCCCAGCACAGAGGGGCCGACTTGATGAGTATTGAATGTTTTGTACATATGAAAAGCTTTTTGGGGGGGAAACAGAGAAGTGCGAGTGCGCTGCGTTCGTTCGTTCGTTTCAGGCGATATTTCACTGCCGATTTGCGCCCATTGCCTTATAAGGAAAGACCGCCATGCCTGCCTGCAATAGGCCCAGCGCAGCAGCCTGCGGGAACTCTACACTTTAACCCTTTCGCTGCTGAATTTTATTTAGTCCTGCCGTCTGAAACAATGCGGCCGGGGCTGCAGTGACATTTTTACGCTTTTGTTTTCGAATAGATGTTTATGAAATGACTTCCTCCCTCAGATTCGGATTAAATGTAAAGAATAACAGTGAACAGAGAGCTGCGTGTGCCAACAGCGGGAAAGAACAGCACATGTTATTTGTAACCTCCCTCTGTGTCCGTCTAATTATATCAAAATCCTCAACCTTCCCTCAGGTGTAAATAAGCGCAACCATTTCTAGCACAAACCGTCGGCTTTGGTGCTGCAGGTCCGTGTGCCCCCCTCAGCTTCAGGCCCGAGCTGGTTCAGGCTGTCCACAGGCTGTCCGTGCCAATAATGGAACCGGCTGGTGCCTGTCTTGTCGGGGCTCAGTCAGAAATAACCCCTCCGGAGTTAAAACTGAGGGCTAGAGTAAGAGGATGACCTACATCGGCTGCCACTCAACCAGGAGCTATCTTCTAACAACGCGAAAATCCACCAGAAAATCCCCGCGACACGCTGCCATGCGAAATGTCATCTCTTTGTGTGACCTTGACTCAGGGAAGATATGGAAATCTATTCATTGTAATGCGCATTGCAGCGTAGGGGCTCTGTTCGCAATTTAACTTTACACAGGGTCACGATTCATGCCGCATTATCCACACTACAGGGCTTCGGATGGGAATGTGTTTTTCCCGTTTCACTGGCATTTGCCGTAATAGAGAAGGCCTTGTTATGGTGGCGGTGATAAATCAATGTCAGACGGGCTCTGGCCTTGACTTTGGTTGGGCCTGTTGTGTATTTTCAGGTGGATGGTTTCCATTTTGAGGCATACAATCTTAAGTTAACCACCTCATCGTGTGGCCCTCATAAAACACATTTTGGATAGCGCTTTAGGTGCTATTAAGTGCGAAGGCGCAAAGTTAAGAAAAAATATCTCGTATAAACTCGGACTGTTGATGTGCTGTGACTGCAAATACAACATTAATTGCAAGGCCTTGCTCAGATGCTGAATTCAGGCAGCACATTCGGGCCATCACGTTTCAGGATAAAACACTCACCATTCATAGCAGTCTCTTCCAGTTAGATCTGGCTTCGCGTTCAGCGACAAGGGAGGGAGGTGAGGCGTTCAGGCTCTTGTTTTGGCTCGTAACCTTTACTACCCCAGTCACGTTGTGTAGTGCACTTGTTTTTCTGATAGGCGTGTCACCCTCACGTTAGTTCTTTAGTCACAAACAGTCTAATTTGATCTCACGTGGGCCAATAAAAGGGTGGGATAATAATCCACTTTTGTTTCAGTATAAGGAGACTATTGCTCACGAACAGATAATAATCAGGCTACATCTTAAAGATAAGTGGAATGTCAACAATGCGTCTTCTGACAGGTGTATCACAAAGGTTCTGCAAGAACGCGAAACCTTCATACATAAAGTTTTATATGTATATATGTATTTAAATAATCACATAATCACAGCATTTCACTATTCGTGTTTCCAGCAGTTTATCAAAATATAAGAAAAAAACGTTGTAATTATATAAATGTTTGGTTTTTTTATTTAGAAAGCAAATCAAAGATGGTAAAGACATCACTGTATTTCTCTCACTTGGATGTAAAGCCATCCTATATGGTAGTTTGTACCGTATCTGTTCCCCAGAGCCACATATTGAACACCCTTGCTTTAGGTAGAAAGTTTATTATTATCTGTCAAGGTGATTTTCCGCCCAGACAAACAGAAGAGCAGGTGATTTCACACACTGGCATCTCCCCACAGTCAGACATGGAGGACTTAATGATATTAGAACTTCCTACCAACAGGCCGGAGAGGTACAAGCTTAGACACTGTCATGTAGGCAAAATTAGTGTCATATTTTTGTTTTTCTACAGGAAAAAAGTAAACGCCATTCATGTCTGGTTGGTGTTAATATCCTGGCACAATAAACTAGCCCACAACAAAATTTCAGCTACCAGATTTTGCCTTGGTTTTCATCCCTCGCCAAATTTCTCAAAGACATCCTCTACATCAGCCACTTACAGCTTTTTTCATGTTGTTTACGCGCCGTTGAAGTCGTGATTACACTTTTTACGACAGTCTCCGAATGCAGCACGGGAACAACCCCCGCCCCCAATAACCTCCCCCTCATGTAACGTCACACCAACGGCTATTTGCATGAAGTGTTTTCTGGCTGCAGCTCGAGCTCGGCTGCAGAGCGAGATCCTCAGAGGGGGAAAGCGAGGGAAGCGGTGCAGTGAAAATAGGAGGAGGGGGAGTCTTGTGTTTCACATCAGAGGAGCAGCGAGGAAAAACGGGCTGAAAGCAAGGATAAGGTGTCCGATAACAAAAGCAGAGAGGGGGGGGAAAGCAGAAGAGCGGCTTCTCTTGTATCGGAAAATGGAGCTCCCCGCCGCGGGAGAGCACGTCTTTGCGGTGGAGAGCATCGAGAAGAAGCGCAGCAGAAAGGTTTGTCACAAGAGCACCGAAGGACATTTTTGCACACATGCACTTGGAAAGGAGGCTGATTTTTCTTTTTCACTTCTGCTTTCAGCGGAGCATATGTTGTTTTATTATTACTATTATTGTTATTCGATATTTTAAGATGACTGTGCAGCGCGGAGTAAAGTAACGTTACGCTCATTATCCCGTTTCTCCTCCTTCACAGGGACGGGTTGAGTATTTGGTCAAGTGGCGTGGATGGTCTCCAAGGTGAGTGCACTTGATAACAGAAATACACTCAACGAGGACGCCACATCCAAAACAGAAAGTGTGCGCAAGTGTAAATGCCTGCATTTTTCTGTGCGTGGGCGCGCGTACGGGGGGTTGCGCGTTCTTGCTCTGGGCACTCGGCGCGTTTATTGGCCCCGATGATGGATGTGGTTTCCCAATGTATGCAATCCCCAGTGTGCCAATTAGAGGAAGACATGTCTATAATTGAACACTATGTTTAAGAAATGCCACGTATCGAGATTTGTGTGGAGGCCGGACCGTTGTTTCCTCCCCCTATTACCGTGCGTAAAAGTTACCCATGATTTATTACACGTGTATCCACAGGGAGGACAAGCGTCTCAGCATGTTGTTTACATGCACGCCCACAATTATGACTCTAGGGAGATTTTATAAGTGATAGATTGAATTAGGTCCTGTCACCTGGGTATCTTCAGCCAGTGCCTGTTATGGTGAGCCGTTTTTGACTGGCCAGCGTGCACTCACTGCTCTCTGTCTCTCCTCTGTGGACAGATACAACACATGGGAACCAGAGGAGAACATCCTGGACCCAAGACTACTTGATGCGTTTCAAGACAGGTACGTTTGATAAAGAAGCTTCACAAGCTGCTGAAAAACATGATAGAACAGGTTTTAATCCACTGTATCTTACATTTCCAGTTTTTGTCACAGCACATAAAATATCTGTCACCCATCCCCAGAGAGTAAAGCAGGTTCCCCTGTAAGTTTTAGAAGTGTAGAGAGTTTGGTTAACAGAAAAGCCTTAATGTTTGTCTTTAGATTAAACCCTGTGTCATCAGAGTTGGATCAGGGTTAAGCTCAGGTTAGGGTTATCAGATCAAACTGAACCACTTTGTTGCGCATCTACTTTTTGTTACCTGATAGTTATTTGAGTGTCGGCATCATGTTATCCTGCTAAAGTGCTACCTGCTGTCCTGCCATCCACTCACCAGATGACCAGTGTCATTTTCCACAGCATGACTGTATAAGTGAATGATGATTGTTCAAAGGTTGTTTGATCCCTTTACTTTTTTGCAGGTTAGACTTTTTTCCCCTGGATTTTCTGATGTGCACCACTTTTAAGAACACAAATACAGAGGACACGAGACACCAATCACCAGCTTTCAGAGATGAATAACACTTAGTATTCAACTAAAAGATCTCCATTAAAAATCAATGAAGTCTAGTACTAGGATCAGTCCACATCTACGAGACAGAGTTATGATGTCACTTTATACTTCTTTAGTTGTATAGGTGTACTGCTTATTTAAAGTATCTGCATCTTTCACATTGTTTAAATTGCTTATGGATTTGCATTTATACAGTTTCTAGTGCTATAAATCCAGCTTGCCTGCACACATGTTAAAGTCAGACTTTCTGATGGCACAAAAAAGCCTCAGCAGACAAATGTGAAAATAATTTAGTCACATTCTGCACATTACATCATCGTGCATGGTAGAGTTTAAATATCTGTCTGAAGGAACATGAAGCAAAGTGTATTTTGGAGTCGAGGGAAAGTTTACATTATGGTTCACATCTTTAAGTAATCGGCTCATGATGTGATGACGGTGCAAAAGCAAAGCAAGATTGAAGGAACTACATAGTATCTTAGTAAACGTATATATCAGAAAAATTCAAATATTACCCTTTAGCGTTGGCTACCTTGGTGACTTTAGCTGTTTGGCTAAATACTAAATACTCTCCTGAGTGGCTGACCAGGCTGCTCCGTGTGAAGGGCAGTGTAATTGAATTTCCTAAATGCATGCTGTGTTAAACTGTCACTGGCTTCTCTCTCAGTCTCCTTCAGCTTTTGCCTACAGCAACCTTTCAGGCGCAGGTCACACGTTAAAGCAAAACATCGACTTCACTCTACGGCTGTTTTCGCAATTATCTCTCGCTTGCTCCAAAGAGGAGGGATTTTATTGAAACTAATTGCGTGCCTCTCGGGGGAGCCAAATCGTCTGAATGCCAGGCTATGAAAATACACTGAGTCGTCATTGTAATTAGATGTGAGGGGGGGAGGGTGGGGGAGGAATCTGACATCACTCCTGTCAGCGGTATTGAATTACTGTCTTGGAGGGACTTGGATGGAGACTGAGGAAAGTCAGAGAGGGGTTGGCCCTTATCTTCCACCGTGGATAGAGTTTGTTTACTGGATTATGAGTGTTAGTATAAACTGACTGTTTAGCTTTTGTAGCAGCTGAGGATAAATGTACATTTGATCCTGTTTAAACAAAGGCGAGGACAGGTAAATATATGATGAACAAATAACAATGTATGCTCACCTTACATCAGGAAGTGTAACACATGCTCAGCGTTTTCTAATAGAGCATGAGGAGGACACCCATGACGTCGTGTTGCCATGCAACTGCAACTCATCTCTGTGTCATGGTTCACTGATTGGCTGGTCTATTCCTCTCCCGCAGGGAACGTCAAGAGCAGATGATGGGGTATCGCAAGAGAGGACCCAAGCCAAAACATCTTCTGGTCCAGGTAAGAAAAAAAAACATATAACAAGGAAACAGGACTTCAGTTTTTCTGTTTTTTATTAACCAGAACACCAGAAAGGCAGCAGCTCAAATAGCATTGTTTACACACAGCGCATTCACACACTGAAATATACTTCAAAACATGATTCTAAATGCTAATCTTGATTATCAGTAATGATGAATGATGCTTAAGTTTCATTTTTATTTGTACCTCTCTCTCTAAGGTCGGGAAATTTCAGAAAATATTAAAGAACATGTGAAATATGTCATGTTTCATCATGTGAAAATGATGAAACATGTCATGAAAGTTGTGATACTAAAAAAAAATAAAATAACGTTTTCGTCTCTAACATGGCTAAAGCTTTTGGTACCATTAAAGCCTACATTCCCCAAAATGCAACTCAAAGCTCCTTTTGTTAGACCCCGCCTGTTAAACGTTTGGGCTTCACACTCAAATTTTTTGGCTTTCAAGTTGTGATTATGAAAGCCATGCTAGATGAAGATGTTCCAAATAAATATGTGGTTAATATGTTTTTCTATTTTGTTTTTGTTCTTGTTGTTATTTATACATGAATAAAAGCATCTTTGTATAATATGCATAATTTCATGTCTGTAAGCCACTTCACATTATCTTTTTAACGTGAAACTCGTGGGACACAGCAGATTAATATTGGCCACAGACATCTGTAAATGTATTTGGGTATCAGTCAAGTTGTTACAGATATTTGGCTGATATATCAGTATTCCCTATTTTAAACTGAGATGACCCATCATGGTTTACTCCACAGGGTTTTGTTTTACCTGTATGATGAGATAACAAAGCTTCATTTGTAAAAATTTAGGTGTTGGCTCATTTACGGAGTGAAAATTTGAATGAGCGAGGGACGTTATCTTCATTAAATTCTATAGGAATCTGTCTCCTGACCTAACAGTTGCAGTTAGGTGACTGCGATTGTACATTTAATGCATCAATCACTGGCCCAAAGGGCTAAGGGATCCCCTCGGAGGCATGTTTTTGTTCCTCTCAGGAGGGTGTTGGTGGTAACACATGGGATAAAGTCAATGCCGGGACACAAAGCAGCCAATGACATTCCTCCAAGCTGAGGTCACAGCCACGGGAGACACTTTGAAATGTCACTGTGATGGCCGGGCTGGTGGCTCAGAGAGCTGCAAGGGATCTGTAGGAGGGCTGTGTCAACATGGACCCAAGGCCTCTGAAATAAACCTTGTGCTCGTTTGGAGCCCCGTCACACATTCCAAGCACAGTGTCTTCATTGCAGCTCGTGGGCCCCATGAAAGCCTTTTTTTTTGTACCCAAGGAAAGACACGTGTGTAGAAACTGGAGACTCTTAATCATTAATCAAATTCCCAGCTCAAAGGGATGCTCTTTATTTTAAATGCTCATTAAAACAACACAAATCATTTGATTCTTTATCGATGGGGCTTGGGCGTTTTTAATAATGCTGATTACTGTGTTTGCTCGCAGGTGCCTTCCTTTGCCAGGAGGTCCAGTATCCTGGCTGACCTACAAGAGGCGTCCCTGGATGAGGACAGCTGTCAGAACGCCAGTCCCATCCAGATGCTTCGTCCGCAGCCCCAGCATTACCAGCTGAACAGTAAGAAGCACCACCAGTACCAGCCGCTGTGCAGGGAGCGTGAGGCTGAGCAGCAGGCTAACGGCAAGAAGTTTTACTATCAGCTTAACAGCAAGAAGCATCATCACTACCAGCCAGACATTAAGGTGCACGAGCCCATATTTGCTAAACCCAAGATAGACGTCCAAGCTCCTGAGCTGGCTAACAAAGAGTATAACCTTCCTCCGGTGCTGCAGCAAAAGTGGGTTCGGGACAAGGACTCGGGCTGTCTGACCAAAGTGAAGGATATCACCATGGAGTTGAAGAAGCTTCCGGCAAACTTCAACGGACACAAAGAGCAAGAGAAGCCAAAACCTAAGGAGGACGCTTTACCACAGCCCAACGGTGTCAGCAGCAGCAAACTAAAGATTGTGAAGAACAAAAACAAGAATGGCCGGATTGTTATTGTCATGAGCAAGTACATGGAAAACGGGATGCAAGCAGCTAAAGTGAAAAACGGCGAGTGTGATGCTGCTGAAAAGCCACCGCAAGGCACCGACAATGGTGCGGAAAAGCACCTGGAAAAGATGAAGCTCGTCAAAAAGCTCGGCCTCATCAATGGATTTGCTAAAAGCCCCGTAGACAAAGCAACGTCTCTCAGTTCTGGATTTAATGGAAATTGCCCCAAAGAAAAGGAACCGTCCCTGAAAGCGGAGCTAACTGTGACAGAACAGGATAAACATGTTGAGGTTAGGGGTCAGGGCCAGCTTCCAGAGGATCAGCCTTTGCAATTGACAACCAAACCTAATCTGCTCTCCCGGCCTTTGAACAGGGGAGTCCCCTCATCACAGGACAAAAGAGAAGGCCAAGGTGGGTTTCAAGGGCTAAAGCGACACCTCTCTGACACAGATGGTGAGGAACGTGAGGGTAGTAAAAGGTTTTTGAGCTCCAGGAGCATAAGCGCTCCCAACACAGCATCATCACCTGTCCAAAGCATCAACATCGACCAAAATGGACACCACAGTCACCCCGGGCTGCAGGATTGTGGGTATGTGGACCAAGTGGAGCCCATTGACTTGAGTATTGTCAAGTCGAGGCCTAAAGCTCCAGTTCCCACGGCAGCCCAGCCTGAAACGCACACACAGCCCGAGGCGCTAACACACACAGAGGAGGAAAGACAAACAGAGGCTGACACACAAACAGAAACTCAGCTTGAAACACAACAACCTGCAGAAGTGGAGAACGCCGAGTCGCTGTCCGTTTCTAACCACGAACAGAAAAAGGAGGACACATTTCCCTCCTTCAAACCTTTCCTTGGGAATATAGTCATCACGGACATTACCACAAACTGCCTCACCGTTACGTTCAAGGAGTACATAGCAGCGTAACAATCTGGGTACCAGCTGTTCATCTGTATAAATGTACATGACATATATTTGTATTTTTGGATGCTTGAATGTACAAATCGACCCTTGATGTTGTTTTCATTTTGTATATTGGTAGTTCAGATAACAAGAGAAACTTTTTATTTGCATATTTCTTTCTTATAAGCTCAACCTGTTGTTATTTCTGGAGATTTTATAACATGCAGTATCTTCTTGAAACCTAAACTGCAAAATTAGATCGAGCAAATGAGGGGATGTAATTAAAGATGCACTTACTCGTGTAAATAAATACGCTTCACTTTTCTATGGATGTAACTCGTTTTATACAGTCAACCGTCTACATGTCAGATAATGTCAAACAAATGTAGGCTATATGGAGAATTTTGTTAGGAAGAAAATTATATTGAATCCTGGTAAATTACACTGTGTGTGTGTGTGTGTGTGTGTGTGTGTGTGTGTGTGTGTGTGTGTGTGTGTGTGTGTGTGTGTGTGTGTGTGTGTGTGTGTGTGTGTGTGTGTGTGTGTGTGCGCGAACAGATGGACAGATTTAAAGGATGCGTGCTGCTTGGACAGATTATGCCATTAGGCATGCTTAAACAAGCAAATAAAGAAAAATGAAGCGCCTTTTTGTCAATAAATATGATTTGCATTGTTAAAAAGGCTTTTAAATGGAAGATTATTCAAGCTCGATGTTTGCTTCTGTTCTGTTTTTTAAGCCATGCCTCTCTGATGCCGAGCACCAGTCGCCTGTGACTCTGATAATTTATGTTTTGCAGCAGCACACTGACTGAACGTGGCTTCTTTTTCTTTTATTTGAATGACATCAGTCACAAATCTGCTAGTTGAGCTCTCTAATCTTACAGACTAATACCACCAGCTGGGTTCTCTGGATTCAACTTTTCATGTCTCTGTTCTTTGGCACCCTGACGTGTTCAGTGAAGGCAGTGCAGTTATTATGTATGGGATCCCAGAGGCTTGTCTTGACATAGTTTGCAGTGGAGCTGCAATTAGAAGTGTGTAAAAGCACTTTTCATAATCACTTCTGATCCCCTGTGTCTCTTCCTGCACTGCTGGAGGTGGATTGAGCTGCTCTGTGAGAACCTGGAGCACCGTGTGCTTTTGTGTGCAGAGGAAAAAATAATGGCTTCTTATGATGCATCATAATTTGCAATAATAAAATTGTTTGCAACTGAGTGTGTTTGATGTGTTTATTCTCCATGCTCCTATAGCAAAGGGGGGGTACCCTGGTACCCTTAATCACGTGATGCGACCTCGGCTTCCCTCCGAGAGCTGAATGTTTTAGCAGGAAGAGGACGGCTGCTGTTGTCTTAAAAGGTTGCCTCAGAAGAAGCTAAATCTGATCTTGGCTCTGTCTGTCTCTGTGTGTGCGTGCGTGTGGGCTGCAGGCCACAAGGATTACAGAGCCGGGGTGTATTTTCAGATGAGCATCCTACAATCCCACAGGCTGTTTTGGACCAGCATGTGTGCCATAGTGGAGCTCAAAGTCAGGCCTTTTCACTTGTATATGTGCAAATTATTTTAACTCACATAAAAAACTGCTTTTTACAGAAGTTTGCAGTTTAATTCTGTCCTATATCAGCAACTGAGTTTAAAGTGAAACGATCACAGGCCTGAATTATGCAACAGTAAAAGAAAGACCTTAAATATTGAATATATTGAATCGCTGAATTCTTTGACTGAAAAACAAAACGTCTGTTTTGTGCTGAAATGAATGCTAAAGAAGTACGTTTGTAATTTAAAGCTCATAATTTTGACCTGAACAGCTGTTCGCGCCAGGTGTTTCTTTGATAAATCATGCTGCCATGCTGAGAGACTCAACAGGAAGCAACTGATTTCTTCGCTACAGGTTCAGCTTTAATGGCAGAGGCGGGGTATTATTTTCACGTTTCTTGTTTAATGCATGCATATAGTGAAGGAGCTGGTTCGTGCAGGTGAGCTCAGTCCTAAAGCTGCCCGAAACATTTTTGTCTTGCCACACGAATGCATCATCTATCCGTCTGCTGTGAGGGGAAATGCGCGATATCCGTATTTTCCGACAATGTGTGTGCATAAATAATCTTTAGAAAAGCGATGAAATCTGACATTCCGACAACCGCAATGACAGAGATGGCAGCTCTCGACCATTTCCTCTGCTCCAACCCGCCAATAAAACTGCTTTCTGTGCGCATTAATATGAGCGTCGACAGAGAAAATGGCTGTCCTCTCCTCCGTGCGCGCTCTTCTCTTGCGTCTCTCCGAAACGCTGAGCAGCAGCCCGCAAATTATTACCGCGATGTTCCAGCTGAGGAGCTACAGCGGGAAATTCCCCGCAGGATCTAAGACCAAGTTACTTCCTTTGTAATGGCTGTTTGCGCTTATTCGTGTAAAGAATCTAATAAAAAAAATGTGACAGACACCAAACAAGTTGGTTTCTTACTGCAATCATCTAAAGAAGAATTGCACAAAATGCTGCACGGAGGATTTGCGCTGTTTCTCTTCCTGATTTGTGTCAGGTTGAGCTGATTTTGCGTGTGAGTGATGAACAGATCCAGGGCTCGTCTCACAGAAGACACGTGCTTTTTGAATTGCCAAACTTTTATTCCGAGGGGAGTCTCGAGTGGGCCGGCACTTTCTCCACACACATCCTTAAGTGCAGATTTTGGACTGCGCCACACATCAGCGCAGTTACAAACCTCTTGACCCGCCTGCCCTTTTTAAATTTAGATCCGGTTTAAATGCTGTGAACTGGACAGAAATTTCCACGCGTGACAAAATTACTGACTGAACCCGACTGTTTTAGCTCTTTATGATGTGAACATTAGTTCCGTTTGTAAAATGGGGAAAAACATCCTCTCAGGTTTTGTCCCAAACCCACCAATGAGCCTGGTACAAATATTCCTCTGAAACTCTTTTTAAAGCTGCTCACATAAAGGAGTCTTTGTGTCGTTTTTACACAGAAAAAAAGTTGTTTGAAGGGGAAACGGGTAGGAATAGAAACTGGAGTGTAAATTGCACATAAAAACATTAGAGACTAATAGTTTCATTTACGCAGGCAGCCTGCTGGGATCCCCCTGCCTTTTCCAATGAACAAAGTGACTAAAGCTCCAGTCATCCAGCGGTGACTGGCAGATGAGCTCAGCCCTTGTGAAGACTGTGAACTCATGAAGACTCTGGTGGTGGTTTTTTGTTTTGTTTTTCGTGTCAACGTAACATAATTATCCACAGTGTTTTCCCTAAGTAGTGAATTGGAGCCCCGCGCCTCTGATTTCGGTCTATTCTCTGTTCTCTGATCATTTTCACCCTGCAGGCTGTACGAGCCCGGTTGGTTTGAAACCGGTTGAGCCTGCACGAAAATCAAGTTTTCATGAGACATGACGGGAATCCGTGAAAGGAATTCAGCTTTAAAATGAAGAGAACCATGAAGAATATTGACTACCTGCCATGGTACCTTATTGAACTAATGTTTTTTCTTCAACTGCCCATTAGTGCGATTACCTATGGGAAAAAGGAAATTAATAAAGGCTAAAAATTGGGTCTAATGTAAACGTTTAAATCCCCAGACAAGTGAAAAAAATGGGGGAAAGCTTTAATTGGGGCAGGATTCCTTCAATGCTTAAGCTCCACAGAACGGACTGAACTTGGTCAATTGGATGTCTGAAATGTCTGGTTATTATTGCGCTATTTTTCGTATTAGTCCCTTTGTGCTGTAGCCGGGGATTCCTGTTTTGTGCGCACACCGGGAACACGCGTCTTGCCCGGATACAAGCCAACCAATGGTGTTTTAATGGCGGCGGCACTGCTGCACTGCAGGCGCGCCGAGACCAATCGCATCCAGAGTCTGAGGTGCGCCCATCTTCTCTTTCTGTCTGCGCTCAGAAGAAAAAAAAGCCGAAGCATGGATCAGAACCTGTAGCCTGGAATAATCACCGGGCCAGCTAAAGGCTTAATCCGAGCTTTGCTTCCTTTAAGAGGTTCTGATATGTCACTCACCGCAGCCTACAGATCCAGAGTAATGCTTTGGAGATTAGGGCATCTTTCAAATATTTAGTTTGGGTTTGGTGTTCGACCATTCCCTTTGGGTTTCACCTCCGGGGGAAATTATCTTACATAAATGGTAAATATTTCCCTCTGTGCGCGCAACACCAAATTACTGCTAGTCAATTTCTGTTCTGGCTCTTTCAGGTGATTTTGAGCCGGTTGTAATGAGTTTTATTCGAAGATCCTTTCGCTCAGAAACTGAGAAGAACAGAAAAAATGTTTAAATTTGGTTTATTAGAAATTTGGGGAATTTTAATGCGTCGTGGCATCTTCACTCAGCCTGTAGTCACACCTTTTTATTAGCAACAATTTAGGAATTTAAAACGACAAATGCTCCGGATAGTTTTAAATTTCCCCGAAATTGTTGGTGCTCAGTCGATCTCTGCTCTTAATTATCCCGATGTGAGGCCTCCTCACCCCCGTGTGGTTTTCATGTTTTTGTTCCTCAGTCAGTGATCGTGGGCCTGATGGACCTGCGCGCATGATTGAGATTTTAAACCAACCTCAGTTATTTGTTTTATTACGCTTAAAGCAATAAAGGCAGCATATTGTTTACCATGTACCTACATGTTTAGCTTTACATGATAGTGTTTATATTTTAAAGTGATGAAACGTGAAAAAGAAAAAGGAAAACGTGTTTTATTATTCAATAAATATAAATGAGGAATGTTATTAAATTGAACACATTATGTCGGTCTAAAAAAATAATGTGTGTGTGTGTGTGTGTGTGTGTGTGTGTGTGTGTGTGTGTGTGTGTGTGTGTGTGTGTGTGTGTGTGTGTGTGGCAGAGACCTATACTGTAAAATGTAATTAGTTCTCAGAAAAAAAATTATGCAAACTTGTTGCCTTAGAAAAACTAAGTGCAGCTTACTTAAGATGAATTAGGGCATCTTATTCGTTGAGAGTATGCGAAGTTAAATTATGGATTTCTCTCACCCACTCACACACGCACGCACACACAGAATATATTGTTAGTGAAGGCATCATCCTCCTGCTCCTCACGGAGTGCTTGTTCTTGAATTTGTCTTCTCCGCATTTGTAGTTTGCACCAGGGCCTTGCCAGGCTCCTCGAGAAAATCCTTTGCTCTGGAGCTTTCCTGTGTTCCAGTGTGACTTTGGATATATCCAGATGATGAAAGCATTTCACGCTGGGATGTCTAAGATGTTGAAACATATCACAAGTATACCGTAGGGTTCTCATTTTGCAGCTGTAGCCATTCACCAGCTTGCCCATGTCGTCCAGCCGTCCCTCTGTGGGATTATAATCCATGATGATTTCCGGTATTTGATGCTCCTGCTCAAACACTCTCACACCCTTGTGCGGCAGATTTTTCTCCTTTTTTATGTAGGACACTAGGAGGTCTGGGCTGTGAACGCACACCTGGAAGAGCTGAAAGATTTGTGTCTGGGCCGTGTTCAGGACGGTCCACCTTTGTCTGCTTCCTCTTTAGAGGCTCCGATCACAGTTTGTGTGACATAAAAACGCCATTGCATGTTGCATAATTTCCCTGTAAACAGATGCAAGTTGCATTTAAATGCATTTGATGACTTAGCATCACAAGCAGCCCTGCAGAGCTTCCTGATAAATGGCACCAATGCTCGTCCCAGAGGAATTCTGTGAACTCCCGTTAGAATCCGAAACCCCAGCAAGGAGTGCACGGGAGTGGATTTGGGCCATCTCTCTCATCCCTCTCTAAAAACGCTTCTTCCCTCTAAATCAATGTACCTCAGAGTGATTGAATGAATCCGGCACAGCCAGAAAAGGTTAAAAGGAAGACTGGATATCCAGCACTTGAGGAAATGACATCGGTGCTGCATTTTTACACTGTCAGCTCTGCGGGGTGTTTCTTTCTTTGGTGCAGGGAGACCATTTTCTTCAGATCCGTATTTTATCCCTTGCTGGCTGCTGATTGGCTGGCTGCTAATTGGCCGGTCCCGCGGTGTGCTGCTGAGCAGGGGTCCTGGGGCAGACTCGTTTTGGAAGGGGCTAGAGGTCAGTTTCATCCTCTTCTTCAAGCTCACCACAGCCAGAGTTTGAATGGATAGATGTAATGTTACGTTTCTGAAACGTTGTCAAGCTTCTCTGTCTTCGAAAATCATATCTCTCTTGTGGTTACCCTAGCGTTACATAAATGACTCCTAAAAGAATATTTGG